TAATAATAACAATCATAGGTATTTTACAGTGACGTGTAAACGAGGTGAATGTCTGAGAAAGTGAACGAAAGAGAGGAAGGAAGGGTTATTTCGAAAATCAAAGAATCTTTTGCGTCTTTGTATCTGTGTGTGTGTGAGAGAGAGAGAGAGAGAGAGAAATAGAAATTGGAAGACAGAACTACGAGTGCATGATGGACAACATATAAACAGTTTTCACAACCATGATGAATTTCCAGCAAACACGTTCACTGTGTTGTTTACATTTTTGTGAGAGAAATACAAGGCGGTTGAAAGGAATACCTCAGTAATAGTAATAATAATAATAATAATAGTGATATTGTATCAGGAAATTCTATTCTGTTGTAAATAATTCATTAAATCCATATAATCTCGATGTATCCCATAAGGATGTAGATGATACAGCATATATTCATAGAGATACATCTCTTCAGGTCTAATATAATGAAATGAGACAGCATAATCACTGCAACAATCGAATCCCTGATTTCAATCAAATGGGGAGAATAAAAGTCAATGTAATGATGATGACGATAATAATAACAATAATATAACAATAATGTGGGGAGATACAGTTACAATTTCAGGTCAGTAAAGTCTGTTGAGTAACTGCACACTGAATAATAAATAGGTCAACAGAACATGATTATGCGACAATAATCTTACAATCACGAGCAACCCTCTCTAAACATTTCTACGCTACATGTGCACCTCTCATCTAGTATATGCTTGATTGTGATAGCGTTACAACAAACACAGTTAGCATTGAGCTCCAAAAGCATGTCGCGATGTTTCCTTTTAAAACTGTTGTTTTTACTTCAGAGTTATATTATTAATGTGTTTAATTTACTCAACCCCCTTCCACAAGCACCACATAAATGTATCTTCTTTAACACTACTCATTTACGTAACTGTTAACTAATATTTGTGACGTGAAATTTCGTGTCAAACTTCAATGTCGCCATCTCAAACCTCAGTGAGTCAGTTATCAGACCATCTCTGTTACAAATTAGTGAGAGTGTAGGGAATTTTTCAAAAAGTGATCTTTAACGATATTACACTCATTATTCTCGACTTCTGTTATTTCTTCGTTTGGTTTCTGTTGTCACCACCAAACAGTACGTTACAATACGTTATCCATCTACTCGTCTACCTTCTGTGTTACATAATACTACTCAGATAAATCCATCTAAAATATATATATATATATATCATGGGGACAACGTTGAAATTTGAATTATCATAATATCATTTTAGTATCTGAAGTATTCAGTAGCATTCATGACATAATGTGTGATAATGTTGTGTATGGTAGGGGAAGAAGAATAGTCATTGCTTTCAGAAACTAGTGTTTTGTCTGATTCTCACTCATTTGTATAGTTTAATATAGACTTGAGTGAGCATTGGAAATTATCCTGTACATAATTGATGCTGAAACTCTTGTTACGTTTTCGCCAACCATAACCCTTTCCGTGGATAGCATATTTAAGTGTAGATATGTTTATTAGTAAAACTCACTGTATCTATTCTGTGGTAATTGTACTTTAGGTACCATTCTGGGTAGCCGTTTGTGTCTTTTGTAAGCATATGTGATGGAGAGAACGGATGAAAGCATTCACGTCCTTCTGCATCTAGACTATCAATTACCGAAACATTTGTAGCTTCAGCACAAGATCCTGTAATCAATGGAGGGAAAAGAAGATGTATCGAATAAGATTAGCATTGAATTGTTTCTTTTATTGTTCTCGAATTTGCAGTATGTCAAAACACATAAAATGAAGTCAACGAATAATAGTCTTTCCAGTAAGTTCTAATCAGGTTCTACGCTTTTTGGGTGGTCCAGAAAACTCGTAAAAGCCAGGAAATGCTCAGGAAACACTAAGTAGCATTTCATCCAATCACTGTTCACTAGAAGTTCCTTCACGTCAATGCAGTCGAGAGAAACGTTTTACAAGGTACCAGCACGCAGAATTATCGTAATGACAGCAACAAACCATCATCCTCACACTGGTTATGTGGCGTTTGGCGTTCTAAAAGGTTTTGTCCTTCTAGAAATCATCGATGTACTATGTGTTCTAGAAAAGGGCACAAAATAAGTCATTGCAAAACCTGGAAACGCCGTTAACAGACAGTGTGTTCTAAAAGATTCAAGCCACGAACAGCTAAAGTAACGGTGGCTCTTCACAAAGCCAGCTCACATAATCGTAGGAAGTATGTTTGTCTCAAGATTAGTGGGTATGATGCCCGCTTACAGTTAGACACAGTCTCCGATATAACACTTATAAGCAGGAGAACGTGGGAGAAAAATATTGGGAGACCGCGAATATATTCAATTCATCAACCAGCACAAAGTGCATCCGGGGGAATTCTAAACATTTTTTGCGAGATTCATTGCGAAGTCACAGTCAAAGAGTTTACGGAGAAGAGAGTAATATCTTTGACAGAACGTCCACCACTCGACTTATTGGGGCTTGACTGGATAGAAATGTTGAAGTTTTAGAACCGTCCCATAAACTCAATCTGTAACAACGTCAGTACGTCGAAAGTTGAAGAGAAAAACTCAGTGGAAGCATTATTAAAACGATATAAAATGGTATTTAGTGATGGTCTTGAAGAATGCAGTAAATTTAAAGCTGCTCTTACCCTTCGAAATGAATCAAAACCAGTGTTTTGACCTAAGAGACCTGTACCATATGCTGCCTTCCCACTGGATGAACAAGAGCCACAACGACTTCAGAAATTCGGTGTCATTGAACAAGTGAATTTCTCAGAATATTGGTAGTAAAGAAAACTACTGGCAGCGTCTGTTTATATGGCGATTACTCAACTGGGCGAAATAAAGCCCTAGAAACTCATCAGTATCCCTTACCCCTACCTGAAGATCTTTTTGCTAAACTGAATGGAGGTAAGCTCTCTGCAAAGTTGGACTTATCAGAAGCTTATTTTCAAATTCCTTTTGCCAATGAGTGTAAAAATCTGCTCACCGAAAACACACACAAGGGTCTATTCCGGCATAATCGACTACCCTTCGGAGTCAAGACTTCCGCATCCATATTTCAGCAAGCAATGGATAATATGCTACAGGATGTTTCAGGTGTTGCAGCTCATCTGTATGATGTAATAATTATGAGAGTAGATAGAATAGACTTGGAAAAGAAGCTCGACCAGGTGCTGTCACGATTAGTCGAATATGGAATTTGACTCCGTGTGGAGAAATGTAACTATTGCATGCAAAATGTACGCCTCCCTGGATTTGTAATCGACAAAGATGACAAAAGACCAGATCCAGAGAATACCTAGGCAGTGAAAATTATGCCTGGACCGACGGGTGTCCTCACACTACGATTCTTTTTGGGACTAGTTAGTCATTATAGAACTTTTATTTCTAACCTTCATCACTTACGTGCCTCCTTAAATAACCTTCTGACGGAGAATGTAAAATGGGATCGGTCCGCAACTTGCCAAGCTGCTTTTGAGGAAGTCAAGAAAATACTATTCTCGGATCTGTTGCTCACCCATTACGATCCATCCTTACCCATCGTGGTAGCATCAGATGCTTCAAACTAAGGGATTGGAGCAATTATGTTTGGTGATAGAATCGTTATTCCAAAAAAACATTACACCACAAGGTTCTGAGACAATTCCGCTACAGTCATACCGGTATCAATAAGATGAAAGCGTTGGCTCGAAGCTATGCTTACTGGCCTACAATGGATGAAGATATCGATGCTGCAATTGTTCGTCGTGCCTGCAAACAGCTGAAAGTCCAAATAAATATGAACCACAACAATGGGAAAAACTTAAAAGTACTTGAGAGAGGCTGCACGCAGCTCTTGCCGGCCCAATACGAGGGAGAATTCTTCTAGTCATAGTGGACACACTCACAAAATAGCCACAAATCCGAACTGTTTAGCTACTTTGGAGTTCCGGAGACTTTAGTGACCGATAATGGCTCACAATCCACTGCAGAATCACTCAAGCACTTCTGCAACATTAATGGAATTGTGCATATGCGCTCTCCACTCTATCACCCTCAATCAAATGGACAGGTAGAGCACTTCGTGGACACATTTAAAAGAGCACTACTGAAAGGTAAGGGCAAAAGGTAGAAGTCAGGTAATTAAGAAATTCCTAGCACATTATAGAACTACGTCAAACCCCATTGTTCCAGATGGGAATTCCCCTGCTGAAGCAATGTTCGGGAGAAGAATCCGAACTATATTCAACGCCATGTTGCCACCTAAACCAATAGATGGACGCAGATAAAATCAGAATATCCGGAGTTTTAACGTGGGTGATATAGTGCTCGTCAAGTCATACATTGGGGAAAATCGTTGGCAACCGTGAGTCATTGAGAAGAGAATAGGAAATGTTTTATACAAAGTACTTGGGACTTTCAGAACGTGGATTAGACACATTGATCAAATATACAGAGAAAACAGAACACTAAACACGGTATATAGTCGAGTGAGTCTTCTGGGAGAGATAATTACAGATGCTCCAATGGCAAGAACCTCAACAGACACTCATAGACGCTGGATACTAAGAAAATCCGAACGTCGCAGAAAACCAGTTATCAAGCTGCAAGTAGACCAGATAAAAAGTATCATTTTTCGAAAAGAGGGGAGGCGTTGAGGAGATCCAGAAAATTCCTCGAAATTAAGCCAAGAAAGGCTCTAAAAACACTGAGAAGCATCATATCCAATCAGCGTTCACTAGACGTTTTGCCAGAAACATCTAGAACGTGAGACGCCACATGTCGAGTTTCTGATTGGATGATTACTCATACTGCTACTATGTTCGGTAGCATTCCAGAATTTTCCGGAAACCCAAGGATATCTAAAATAATATAAAAACACTGGATTTTCTGTACATAAACGAACCTCTTGAGTCAAGTACTTCTCGTTTGTTTTGCTTCTTTTCTCTCGTGTTCAGATCGCTGTGTAGTTCTAGCTTGAGAGTTACGAGAATAGCTTTTAATTAACACGACTTATCATACGCTTATACATCGTGCAAATTATAGATGCAAAAGCAATGCATGGGATCTTACAGTGATTAGTAGAACAAAACAGAATTGTTAGTTGATAAATACATATCAACTATGTACTACCAACTCCAATTATTGTGTCAACTGTAATTGTCAGAATGATAATGAGAATAGATATAGATGTCATAGTGTAAGACAACCGATGGAAACCCAACTGGAAGCAAATAACTGTTGCGTCCCACTATAAAGCTACTCTATACTGAGCACCTAGACTTCATCCAAAAATCGAATTTAATGTCTTCAGGATTTCACAAACCGTTCAGACTAATCCAAATGCATTAGGCCGTTTCCATGTCATATTCAACGATATCAATTATTATTCAAATCAGTTGTTGCATAGTCATAATACAATCACGTCACACGCAAAATTAGTATGTATACCTACCAAGTTTCACGTCTTCAGCGAATGCATGTTTATTACTTTGACAAACGGCATTATTCTCCAAACCATTAGCGATATTCAAAAGACCAGCTCGAGATAGCACATATCCTCCACCACCGGACATATATCCTTGTTTAACAAATGGCTATTTTGCAAAGAAGAAGAATGTGAAGGAAATAGAAGAATATCATGGATTAAGGAGAGTGAAAGTAACAATTTAGACGCATTATTTGTAATAACAAGTATTTGAATCTCTCAAATTCTTATACAAATTAAGGTAACACTGGGAACTATTTGGATGCTCTCTGATAGTAGAACAACTTTTCTTAACCTGAAACTATGATCTTTAGAAATTCACTTGAATTATTGACAGTTCCTGTCATGAAACGATTTGATATTCCCCGCCCCCTCCCCAACTTCAATTATCATGAAGATATTCTGTTTACATTTATGAAATAATTCCTCACTTAAGTAATAATACGCTAGGTAAATAATCCGAGTAATCACAACATTCAGTTCTAATCATTGGTCAATCATATCCTATCTGTTAGGTAAATCAAAATCACTATAATCTTCGTTAATTATTGTGACCGAACACTGATGATTACTCCATTGATGAACGTGATATTTAACCGGAAATAGCCTTTTCGAACGGATATAACATAAGTGTCACTAAAATCACTTGGATCAGTACCAGGATGATGGAGTGTTTTTATCAAATACTAATTATTTTGTACATACCTAACCACACAATTCCGAATTCAATACAATTCAAGTGTGTAGACTGTGTTCTCTGTGTTCAGTCCCGATCCATTCATCACTATTATACCACACACAAGTTAGATCTGGGAACTTGGATTACATTCGGTACTAACAGTGTTGCTACTATTACTATCATTACAGAATAACCTAACAAACCTAAAGAGGAAATAACAAAAAGAGAGAAGACGAAAATCTTAGCAAAGTGAACTGCTTCAACTGCAATAAAAATCACGATGGACAGAGTGGCTGCCTTCTTCTTCATCATCAACAACATTAGGTGTCTGAGAAGCACCATGAGTTATCTTCACTTATACCTATGCATGTGGACAATTGTAGACACGGATTTGATTGAGAATATGTTGAAATCTTGAGGAGAGAAAATACAAACAAAACTAGAGTTTTGAGTAAATCGGAGCAGGTCAAACAGCAATCAGTAAGCATATGTGTGTTAATTCGAACATCCCATTTCAATACGAATTTTGTCAAGATGCTGTCCAGAAAGACCACAAAATCTTCAATATTGAACTACCCATCTGGGAGAACGCTAACCCACCTAAATTTGTTTGACATTTTACTGATTTGGCCACCACAGTCACTTTAACATACTATCGGTTGATTGTATTATCTTATCATGCAAATAAATCTTCTTGTCAAAAATCAACTACTCCATAGATATGGAGATGCACAACTCACCTTGAATCGTCTGCCCATGATAAATGGTTTATCGGGATTTTCTTTATGTAAAATTTTGCGCAGATTCTCTACAATCACATATGAATCATCATCCGCCTTCATGAAGTAATCGTAATCATTGGCATAATGTTTTGCCATGTATTTTATGGCTCCAGCTGTTTTATTCCACAATAAGTTGCGACCTTCAGCATTGATAACAGCTACAATTTACGAATACATTGATATATTCGGTGGTGATTGGAGTAACTAAACAGACAGATTCAATGACAATCATAAATGATAATAACCAACACGGGGAGACGGAGTTCATATGGGAAGGAACTTTCACTAACCTCTGGTGAACTTGGACTGAATGATGATAGGATTTATCTTTTTCTTAAAATTCAAACTTGGCTTAGAAGCCAGGTAATTCAGCCAATTATATACATATATATTTCGGCTCAAGTTGCCACATCACATTGGCTCAAATGTTACGGAAAAACCAAGGGCAGTAGACGTAGTAACAGTATCAGTGGTAACAAAGAAAATTAAAAATCGAAGATACGATTCGGGAAGGAAATATGAAATTATCAAAATGATTGAAAACTTCATGTGGAATTTGGGAACTTTGAATATAAGAGAAGACGAAGAATGAATGCATCTGAGTAATTGAGAACAACTTTGAGCATTGTTACTCAAAGTCTCCAACCATTGTTTACGATGATCACGCGGATCTCAACCAGGTTGTATGCACCTAACTACATGGATTGGTTCAACATTCAATGCCTTTGTGGACTGATGCCACGTTTTGTTTATTATCCTCCCCTGACTTTTTCCCAAGCTACTAGTTGCACCAGCCATTATTACGCATCCAGTTAGTTGGTAGTTGGACATGCATAATGCATATCCCAACAATCTCAGTCGATAGATTCATTACCTCGTCAATCGACTTCCTATAGTTACCTGGTGCTGTGCGTTCAACCTCAGAATTGTCAAATCGATGGTACAAAAATATATGAGCAATGATTTGAAGACATTGATGATCAAGACCTCGTAACCCAAGAATATCATTTATTATAAAAGGTATGTTTCTCACCCATCAAGTAGATCGGAACGAAGTGTCGAGCAGTTGACAGACGTATATCTTGTGTGCGCCACAAGTGAAGCAAGTTGGTAAACGCCAACCGGCCTCTCTCCATCCGTGTCGAGATTCCGTCAAACACTAACCCACTAGTGTTGATGAGACTTTCAAATGAAGTGAAGTGAAGTGGTCGACACAATCCACTATTTCACTCGCTATCGTCAAACTCAAGGTTGGCAGAAACCAGTCCTTAAGCAATATTTTGCGTTACGATGAAGTGATACGCATCACAAACACGCTCGCACTGTTGATTGATTAAGGAGGTCAAGAGACCCTGAGTGTTGTCAAGGTATTCACCAAATAAAAATATTTCCTCTAAGTATTCCGAGTCAACAAATGAATCTTCTGGTAGATCAATTTATCATAATTCACACGATGATATTATTATTATTATTATTATTATTATTATTATTATCTCAAGAAGAACGTCTACCAATAAGTTAAATGGAAATGGAGAAAGTGGACAACCTTGAAGAACACTACTTGGAGTCATCGATTCTCATTCTCTTTCGAAGCACCATGAAAATGTAGTTTTATTGCACATTCTGCACCAAAATAGAAAAATCATTCATTTTCGACATTTCTACAAATTACAAACTGGTTATCTTTATTCTGATTGCATTATCCTTACACTATACTTTAACATCAGATATATCTATTATGAAATCCCACACAAAAGCTCTTCCTGATGCCTAATTAACGTTTTGTTCAGTGAATATATTTTTATCTGCATCAGTGTTTTTATAGTTGAGTCCAGTCTTTGTTTGTATACAGTTGTCAAAATAGTACATTACATGCATAGCTACTTGAAAAATTCACTTGTGTCAAGATCTGTATAAGTCTCATGTAAATCGAAACACATTGGTAGTGTCGATTAAAATGTTTAATTTTTTTTTGTAACTGAAAACAATACGACAATATTCATTCGTCCAATGAGCTTCGAACAATATTATCTGAGTACTCTCAGTGTACATACACACAGTGTATATTATGATGTCTAAGATAAATTATTATTTTAAGATAACACTAATGTAATGTTTCTCGTAAAGTCAGTTATATATTGCACAACAATCTTTTCCACGTAACACTATATATCCTGTACACTTATTTTCATCTCTGCCCAATATAATGAGATATTGTGATCAGGATAGTTGGTCATATTTTTACTGAGACAGTAACTGATCAATGGAGTTGTACAAAGATCGTATCATACCATAAACGCGACCAAATCAAATTAATCAAATGCTTGACACAAAGCATCTGGGTTTCATCTTTCACCAACAATGTATCCACGATATAATTTGATCTGGATAAAGGGTTATATATAGTAGAACACTGATTACTACTGCGGTGTGTGCTACTTATATTGACATAAGTTAGTAGTGTACATGTTAGTCGTGAACAGAATGTCTGGCAGCAGAGAGACAAGAGGATCGAGCAGTAAAGAATGGAAACAGAATGCAATTTGTATCAAAATGCAAGGACAATGAAGTCTGAGTCATTTTGAGACAATCGGTGGATATTTTGTAAATAAAGCATTTACTTTATGATTGCTAGATTTTATTAAAAAGTCCTGTAATCTTGTGTTGAATACATTAGATTGTCTCCACTGGCGTTCTTGTTCACTACACTAATACTACTACTACTACTACTACTACATAATATCCGATCAGCGTAATCCACCTACTTTACAAAGCACTGTTGAGGAGTCCCACAATACGACGGGACGGCTGTTCCGTGCTTTCAGGTTTCCCATAGTAGTCTAGCTTCAATCGATTCATGCTCTCAACTATTGAGAGTTCTTCTAATTTTGTAAGATGGTGCAAATTCTTATTGCCTTCAAATAGTTTTATCATAATTCATTAATCTATAGCTATTCCGTGATGAAAATTTTCTTTTCGACGACATCATTTACTTATGCTGTACATTCATACTCATAGATATATGGAAAACATGTCTATAGAAGGACAGAACATAGACATATATTCTCCACATATCTATGAATACGAATGTATAGTCTAAGTAAATGATTTCAACGAAAAGAAAACTTCCATTGCTAAATTCAATGACATAATGGGTTATTTTAATTACCATAACTACTTGTTATTTCAATTTATGCTTGTAAACATGTGTTTGTATAAATCATATGGAAAAACAATATCAAGTGAATTTAAACTTCACCCCATTGCACAAGCAAGTGGCTATCAGAACTCAGTAGCTGAGTAGATGACGCGATGGAGTTTGAAGCGAACGGTACTGGGTTCGAGTCCCAGAGTGAATGAACTTCAACTCAGATGCAGGTATATACAAGCAACGGATCCTAAATAGGACGAAACGCGCGTCAAACTGGATTCCACTTCTGGCCACTATCTATCTTTGCTTAGAATGCTTGTGAATTAAGGCAATATCAAGGCAATACAAACAGTATGCACATGCGCCAATAACAGACTGATCAATTGCAGTGCTAAGCATCAATAAGAAGATTCAAGTAAAAACAATACCAAGTGAATTTATTCATATTGAAAGATCTATTATCAGAATAAATATGGGTCAGATAGTGTGAGAGAAATCATAGTGCAATTACAATTCGATCAAATGTTTAGCGAAAGACTACATTGTGTAAAAAATTATTAGTAAGGATGAACGTGAAGTAAATGAATCGTGTATTGGGGAGATGAATAATGATCTTTAGCCAATAGTAGTAGTAATAATAATAACAACAGTAATTTCCACTTAACATACAAGCAGATTCAAGTCAACATTCCATATGAGTCATAAAAACATGAACAATTTTATTCTATTTTGTTTGACAATCCTACAGTTCACATGCTTTTACTTTAAACGATGCACTTTACCCTTGACCTGAATATTTTTCGGATTAATAATTTGAATATATGGATTGTAGAACCTGAAGAGAATCTATCGAAAACAATATTCTTCGTTCATAGATTAGTCTTCTTAACATGATGGGGATCTTTAGACAATAAATATGTTTGTATACTTTGATCTCATTTACAATAAAAAACAACGATTATAGGCTAAAATCATTGATTCAAGAGGACAGGCAAACACTAGAGATTGAACGTTCTTACCAGGGTTTGTAAATGGTATGTTGTGTTCTCCAAAGTGCAATAAAACGTCATGGTGGAATTTAAAAATTGTAATCTTTCCGTATTTAGTTTACAGCTTAAAGTAAACACTCCTTTCTCAAATACCTAGATGAGTAGACATATAAGACATTTAGGAATGGAACCAAATGTCCCTGTATTTTCTAATGAATACAGTATTCTCAGAAGCTTCAATTTAAACACGAGTCTAATTATGAGGTAATATAGTGTATTCAATGCTCTCAGAGTAAATAGTAGAACCTTAAATGTTACACAAGATTTAACGTGGGTTTCTACTGATCTAGTCATTAATCATTTTCGTTCTAAATTGGATTAGTGTCGATAATGTGTTACACATTAATTACTACGGTTTGACTTGACAATCAATGCTGGCTGGTGCAGGAGGAGGTTGCATAAAATAAGGGGTGGAAAGACCGGGACGAGGATTCAATCACGGAAGTCAGTGAATGTTGATATGAGTCACATTAGTAAGTCCAATTTACCGGCTTAGTGTTCCTGGGATAATCATTTACAACATTTGGAGACGTTGAGTGGTATGACTCGGAATCTGATGCATTAAGACAGACGTATGCATTTTAATAATATTTCCTTAGATTTTGAATTCCAATACTTCTCCATAATTTTCATTGCACCAAATAATCCCCTTTTGGAGATTATTTTCTTGATGCTTACTATCACTGATATTACTATCGTTTCGACTGTTTCGTTATCTAGTCTGGTCATATAGGTCACAAAAACATGAAACAGTAATAACAATAATAATAATAATAATAATAATAATAATAATAATAATAATAACGATTCTGACAACTGGACAATCAGTGACTTACCTATTGAAGGAAGATGCGAATCAGTTTCACTACTAATGAATAAATAGTTATTACATCGACCAGCCCACGTAGCTTTCACATGAACAGCTTTTGATTTATGATTCGCTGGCATTGTTAGTATCCAACAGAACACACGTACTTGTTTAGCCAATACGTTAGCCAATGTTGCCTCGGCTACAGGTAGGAAGGAAAGTATACAAGAATAGAAACAATGTAGATTCGTCTAATTCTTCCTCTAAGACGAGGAAAATTAATTTGACATTCGAGACTGCGAACTGCCACCGTTTGTCTGAATAAAGTAAGTCAATTCGCATAAACAGAGAAATTGACTGACTGACTGACTGACTGACTGAGTAGTCAAGAAACTGAACTAAAACAATGAGAACAATTAAAACAATGTTCACTGAATTTTCAGTAGGGAGAAAATGCAGTTAATGCATCTGTATCACATGAGCTGACATATACTCCTTAGTAAGAGTCTTGAATCTACAAATCTCGTGTTATACTGACCACATTTCGAAGGTACCCGTTCACTTACACAACTTATGAAAAGAGTTAGTTACTTCACAGATCAACAAAAGTTCAACATAGTGAAACAGATGTTGTGCATTGATTCATACTCAATAGCAACACACCTAGTGAATTGGAAATCCGAAAAGAACTTAAATGTATAGACGAGACAAGACATCCTCCCGGAATACTCTACTTGAATTTTTATCAGAATGGAGACGACATATTTGTGACCCGATTGGCCAAGCTGAAACGAAGAGAAGAAATAATGAAAATTTTAAACATGTCTCTACCTCTAAGACTCAGTGTTTGAACAGCTCATCATCAGAAGTTAGGTGGTACAGTTGTACCACCACAATAAACATGACATAGACCTCCAAATCCTAGCTGTCAGAAAAGTAAAAACGTATATCGAAAAAATGAAAACTCAACCAAATCTAAGGAAACAATTTGAAGCTCATCATATTTTCGAAGATATGCTGGAAATACTGGATCTAGATGAGGGTGAATTATTGAAAATTTCAACAGTATGGAGAATGACACAAGCTAACTTGTTTCAAATGAGGTCCATTCCACTCTATGAGCTATCGATCAGATATTCCACTTTTTGGGATTTTACTTATATTGTACATGGATCATTTTCCGAAGTTCTTAAATTCGAACTACTCTGTCGGTACTGTCATTTCTCCTGTGTCATCTGCCATATCATTTGATTATGAAACTGTTTCATTACAAGTAATAAATATCATCAATCCTGGAAAACCGAAATTTCTCAAACATTTCTAATCCATTAATTCATAAATCAACACACTCTCTACATGTAACCACAACATTGCAACTCATCACAGAGTAAGGCAGTCAATTTGTTCTTCTTCTCCATGAATATTTGCAAAACCATCAGCTAGCACATGTATTCAGCCAAAGGTTCCACACCCACCCAAAACATTTCTCACTTGATTAACTCATCAAAATTTTCACGGTGCGCTCACGAAATTTGTGTTGAACAAGATCCACTAGTTCGAATTCTCTATCTTCCACGTCTATAAATCAATGCCATCACTAAAATCATTCCTGTATAGATTCCATGTCGTATTTCGGTTAATGTCAATTCCAATAAACCTCATCACACTGTACTAACATGTGTAGTTAGCAAGCATGTTTCGGTTCCATTTGAAGACACACGCCATCACATCATAAATATTCCTCAAAATATTGGTGATCACTAAATACTATATTCCAACTTCATGAATAAACAATGGGACATTTATTATGAAATTGATTGATTCTGAACTCCATTCTGTTTACATTTTATTTGAGATAACACTAATGAGGATAATAGATAACCGTGTACTCTGTGTTAGCCAATCACTCTCATTGGCTAATATTTATTCACAGGAAATAGCTATGAAATCTTGTAGACACCACAATGTTCAATTTTCATATTTGAATAGACAGAACACAAGATATGACAGCACTACCTGTGAGAAATGCACCCAGTTTCGTATTCCTGCTATTTTCACACCGTACATTCAACTCAGTTATAGAGAAACAACTGACTACATTATGGTGAAAGTACGTAAATTATGATGATCAGTCTACAGATAATCCAACTGCTTTCATTTCTAAACCAGTGAAATGTCTTCAACTGTGAATGGGAAGTTAGTAAATAAATAACAATGGCTGATCGTAATCACGATAATCTCTCTTGTTTCTTTGATACCAATGTCATTTTTATGCTGTATTCGTTCGCTGATTAAGAAATAGGTTAAGTGAATTCCTGAGGTTTCCGGTGAAACATAGGAAAGATTTTGAGGAAATTGTTGAGACGTGGAGGGTTCTTTATGGAGCTAAAACTGAAAGGAACAAATTGTTTCCAATAGATGAAAGACCTCAGTGAGGGCTGTCAATACTAAAACGATGATGAGAGCTTAACACTTTCATCGAATACCTATGTTGATAAAATTCACAAAAGTGTGTATTGTTTCCAGCTTTTACGTTTCCAATTCACTTTCTGGATGAATTATGTGAGTATGAGTTTGAGAAAGTTCTCTATTTATTTGCTCCAACAAAGTCACTTAGGATAGATAGAGTAAAATGTGAAACGATGAGACAACTGAAGGGTCTGAATTCAGAGAGGTGCATAAATGTTTTCAACAGTGGAAAGTAATACAGGCCAAATGCGTTTCTACAAATGGGAACTATCTCGAAAATGGATAAGATTGATGTACAACAAACCATCCACTCAACTCGCCTACTTACTTAGTAAAGACACTGGTGACTGAAAAAAATGATTCACATTTATAACGACTCAATTCGTTAATATTTAGCTAGAATTCGGAAACTACAGTCTGAATCATAGATGGATATTTCGAGTATTGCTTCAACTGAAAGCAATTTTTAGAATAATCATTGAAACCATTAATAACAACTGTGGTTTTCCACTTCAAATCAAAACCAATACACTTACCTAAATGTTGTAATGCATGTTCGTGTATTGAATCGTTCGAAAGAACTGTAATTTTCAGGGGAACACGATAAAGAAATCGATAGTCATTTTAAGTTAAATCTAACCTACTCAACTGTTTATATGTATTATCGTTTGCTGTCAATTTCGGTGACTTGGCTGCAGACAGTGCTGCTGTATACAAATCCTCTTCATGTTGTACATAGTAGAGGTGGACAATTAGTCCTCCACCAAACATACCGATCGTGTATATAAGAAGCATACGAAAGAATGGTGATAATTGCATAAAGACTCGAAATTCCTAAGATCAAAATGAGAGAGCGTTAGTACCAATTAACAGAATTTACTTTTGAATACAATTCCAATCAGAGAATTGTTATGGAAGCATCATAATCATATCACTGTTTCATCTGATGTAACAAATAAGTGGTAAACTTTATTCGTGTTTATGTTTGTATGCCTGAATACTATGTGGTTCAGTAAATTCCTAAACGTCCTTTCCAATGTCATACTTGTTTACTACAATACCATTTAATTGGATCCATTCGACTTTGGTGAATAGAGGAGTTTGATTTTGTGTATTTTCCATGGGGAATTTACTACAACGATTTCACCGTTATTGTGTAGACGTATGAGGATTAATAGACCAAATTCAGAACAGAATGTGTCCACATATATACATTTGATTGCAACATTGATTGATATCAATATGAATCTCTGAGTTAGTATAAATTTTTGCCGAAATCGTGTTCACATATAATTGACGATTGTTAGTCAACTTCAACATTCGGTTCAAATTGAATCTCTCGACTCCAAGTTGGATAAGTAGCAATTAGGAATAGAATGTTCGTTTCATCACTATCTAACTTGTGTAAAGCGGACGTTTTTGATACACGGCACAGAAATTATCATAAATCACTAATAATTATCTATGGACATGTTACAGAACCCTTTGACCTCTGCCTTTCTCCAAATGCATCTCGTCAACAAATTTCAATAATAATATCTAATAGACCAGATGATTTTAACACCATTCTTGAAGCGTAGGATCGAGATGTAGTTTGGCAATTCCCAAACGAATGCAAAACCTTTTTCTAATGCTTTCTGAATTATCTATGTTTCACCTCACTGATGTCATATCGTGACGTAAACCAAGTTGAAACTAAACATATTGACATAATGAACTCATTTAAGTAATCATTATGTCTCCATCAATGATTAGTTTCAAATGGATTCCATATATCCTATACAATCTCTATTGTGTGGGGTCGTGATCGTTCAGTTGTGCTGTATATATATATAATTTAACTATTGTAAAAAATACAACTGAAATAATCACTTAGTCAATAAAATAGGGATCATCGAAGTAAATTGTATTTAAAATTCCGAATGAATGATTAGCTGGGGATTTTAGTTTGGTTTTTTATAAACCAAGGGTCTGATGTATCTACTTCCTCTTCAATAAACGGCTTCCCTAACTTTCAAATTTCTAATCATGACTTGATTCGTCCCATGTTCAATCGAATTATGATTAACATGAGTTAAGAGATACACAGTTTATTCAGTGGTGATTATCAGATTGGATAATTCAAGTATTTGTATTAATCAGGCAAATTGAATGTAGTAGAAAAAAAAGCACAACTACTAAATACGCAATAGATAAAATGAACTGATATCCTCATGGAGACGTTGTAAAAGATACATCTTTTTACGACCCATATCTTGAAAAAGAATACAGACTGAATACCACAGATTAAGCAAAGTGAGGGATTAGTCTTTGAGTTACTAATGTTTACCAAGGTACTGGATAGTTTTATATCCAAAATGAATGTAGGTATCTCAAAAAAAGTGTATGATAAGTTTACTATGAAAAGATAATTAAAACATTCAGCAGACTATATTTTCAATTTCATTGTTTCTTCTGTCAAGCGTTCTTTAATGGTTGCTCATTTGTATAGGAGGAAGTTAGCTTGTGACTAAAGTCTACTAAATAAGGTCTCAATCATGTTTAATCTTTGGACGCCCTATACTTTTGCACAATAATTCACTAGTTAGTAGCAACCGTTGTCATGTCGATTCGTTGGTGTTAATTAAATTCCATTCAACACATTTCAAGAGCGAAAATAGGGATAAAACATACTTTCCAGTAGGTCCATAAATTCCTTAGTTTGATTCTCGGAATATCAGTTATAGTTTTAGATTACTCGGTAAAAAAGCGGAGAGAGTATCATTTATGGACAAACCAATCAGGTATAAGATAACGAGTCACGAGTTTTGGCGCGAAATTCATGCATTCTTTTGGCTAAATAGAGTTTATGTCAGTTCGTGATGAAAACTTTAGATCTAATTTTCAACCCTAACCATCAACTGTAAATGTTAATTCTACTGCTTTATAATCTTCATTTCGTACTAATCAGTAGGTTTCGACTTTTTTTGTAGTTCTAACTTTCATTTTATTTACTTTCTCCATCCGGTATGATGAGATACGGTACGAAGCCGTTTTTTCACAAGATGTATGTAAATAATTTTTAATTATTAAAATGAAAGCCTTAGTGTTAATTACTAAATGAACGGAAAAATGCTCAGAGGTACCAGATATGGCACTTTTATTAAATGTTCAAAAAGAATGAATAACCCCACACGCAAAGACCTGAGAACCATACGAATGAAATTCATAATCATGTTAAGCAATCGTTATGACTATAAATTTTATTATCTAATATATCATCAATAACATGAATTGGTGAGGAAGTTTACTATAAGAAATGGATAAAGAAGAATAAAATTGTGAAGATAGGCATGACAAACTTATTTTGTAATGTTTTTTTTATTTTTTTGTCTGTTAATTTTCACACTTTGTACATTTATCACAAAATGATTCTAAAGGTTGTTTGAGTGTATGACCTTGAACTCACACTCTTCCGTTCTAAATGGTTCATAGCATGACATACGTTGTTAACTGCTTGTAAATAGACTACTATACACACGTCTCTCTTTCTCGATTGCCTGTGGTTATGATAATGGAACTCTGAAATATCTATTATCTACATTTATAGACTGCATCTATATTTCCATTATATTCTACATCTGGCTATATTACTGAAATCATAACAACCTTATTGGAATTATCAATTTTCTATAAATGTGAATTATGGTACCAAATCCAAGTGGAACACGCCAAAGCCTGCTGATTTAAGTAACGTCTCATAATTTGTCTTTGTATTTATAAATTATAATTGATATATTATAACATTAACTTCTGGACGTAATAACTTTATTGTCATTTCTGAGTTAATATAGTTTTTAGTCCACCACAGACTCGTTAAATTATGCCTTAGGTAGAATATACTGAAGCAGCAAGTAATTGATGTAATTTTGCTCTGATAGCACGATACTGTCACGATTCTGTTTCTTATCACAACCAAACGATTTAAGCACTAATATAGGTTTTTTGTATCAAGATTTTCATAGGATGGGTGGTATCTGGCGTTAAGCTTTGCATTTTGTTAAAAAAGTACTAAGCATCTCTGTATTGATCCTGGTTTTCTGGGTAGTATAACACCATTTTATCATTTACTCATGACTTTCACATATGAGATTTTGATATATGTGATCAGTCATCATAGTGAAATATGTTGCGGATAGATTAGGTGGTCTGTGTCACGGATTATCATCATTTGTGATATTACTAATAACTAGAAAGTACTGGATAGCGTTAGGTCGGAAATTCTAAACAGTACGTACCCACGAATCTACTAGCGATCGAACCAAAGTATTCAGACTTCAGAATGAGCACGTTATCTTTATATTACTGAATTGCAATTAAATGATTCATGTCTTTAACCTCCGTCCACACTGTTAACAACTGCCTCATTTCCGGTGATGGGACTGGGCGATCGTCACGTTATATATAGAACTAATTAGAGATGAAAATGGGAATCATTTGATTCCAGACGTACTATTTAAATATTTCATAATTTCCACTAGATCTGGATTGTTTGTTTAATTTTTTTGTTAGATCATACATGAGCACAAATTCCCAACCAAGACATTTATGCGTGAGACCGAAGGTCAACAGTTTGGTTCTCCAGAGCGGGGTCGGGGTTCATGATTTCTGTGAAAGTCAGCAATCTCAACAATCCTTTACAGACAAATGTTCGAATGTTTAAACATTCACCGATATTATGCCACTAGTCTACATACAGTCGATAGTATTTACAAAATATTTGCGTCAATACGTGTATAATTCCGAAAGTGACGTTCATTGTTAACCACTCAAGGAAAAGTATCATTGATTTTATTTAATCTGTTATTATTTCAGTATTTTTCGACTTTAAAGGATCCTTTATATTGAGATGGTGGAGAAGATTTGTAGCTCAGGTGGATGATTTTGGTGGTGTTTTGTTCTCTGAGCTGGATGGTTTGGTCGTGGAGCTTTCATCGTTCTTCTGAACGACATCATCAACACTTTGTGTTGATGAAAATATCTATTGTGTATTTGACTCTGAATCGGTATTTCACATTGAAAGTTACAAATAAGTTAACCTGATTAAGCATAGTTACCTCGTAAATAAAAATTAGAATCATTCTATGTATAATAATCAATGTTATTTACCAATGGAAATGTTCAGTAATCTTTTTATATTGAAATACGTGTTTACAAAAGATAGAAATTTCGACAATATAAACTTACAGCTAAAATCATCCGAATTATACGACTCATTCTAAGTTTTCTGTGACTTATTATTATATGTAACTAACATTATTTATCTATCTATATATGTATATAAAACTTTCACTGAGTTAATGATTGGTCATCAATCTGATTTTATTGATAGGACTGTAACTCTATATAACTTACCTAAGTAACATTATTGATTATTTTAAATAATTAGGTCAAATAAATAATTTGGTGAATATAATAAGATGATTAGAATGTTTTTGTTATAATAATTAAAGGTCAGAGAGGTGTAAAAATCAATATGGTGATATTTGCTAATAACTGAAAAATATGTATCATTTTAAGTAACAATATTATCCAATCAAAATAAATTCTACAACAATAACTGCTACTATTATTATTATTATTATTACTACTGTGGTGCGTGCTACTTATATTGATAAAAGTAGTATATGACGCAAGTCAGGATTGCAATGTCTGGCAGCAGAAGATGAGGGAAGATCAAGAAAGCAAGAGCAGGAATAGAATGCAATTTGTATGAAAATGCAAGGACAATGAAATCTGAGGCTTTTTGAAACAAT